TCCTTATATAGCGAGTCTTTATTGTGTCTAATGTAAAAAACTTAAAGAATCACATAATAAATTATTGATCAAATTTTGATCACAATAATTTATTAGGTAGAAAATAATCGAAATAAATAATAATCCAATAATAATATTCTGATATTACAATTTTTGATATTATAAATTATATCAAAAAAATAATCGATAAAATTTATTAGGTAAGAAAAATTACATAGATTAAATCGCTGACGTAATAGCCAAAATAGATAAATAAAAGTCTTAAAGAAATAAATAAAATTAAAAATAAATAATTGGTAATAATTTTTATTCCCATCATAAGTAATGTTTTCCAATCCAATTATTATATAGCTTAAAAGGAACAATAATAATATATAATAAATTATATGTTAAATGTCAAGGAATTTTTTTGTCGCACATCGAAAATTTGTCAGCTTAATGTCACACTTATCTCTCTCATGAATATTATTAGTATATATATATTATTATTATGTTCGTAAGTTATCAAACACATTCGCCATTTTGTCGCCGATTTCCATTCTCCGCGGTGTAAGAATAACTCATTTATTTTCTCGGCTATGACGTTACGGTGCGAGGCGTTGCCGAGGCGGCATGATTGCGTAACCGATCGCAGATATCGAGATCGAGAGCCTCTGTCCGGACGGAAATAGTGCTCGGAGGTGTGTCACCCAGAGTTCGCGACCATTCTTTGACGTTTGTCTATGATATTCGTCGATCGATTATTATACCGGATCCACATTAGACATAAATGCGAGCTCGACCGTGTCGAAAAACAGCCTGCTCTAGCTTCACGCACGGGCGATTTCGGGGTGAGGAAAACCAGGTTGATGCAATTTATATCCGATGTGTCGTCGGTACAAGGGTGTCTACAGTGCAGTAACCTCTAAAACGTATATATTTATTTGATCAATATGGTCCGAAATATGGGGTTTTAAACGACTATTGACGCATTCGACTCCTACCTCGTTCGAAGTTAGTCGACCTAATGAAAGCTGACGTAAACGTTTATATTCTTAAGTTATTCTCTTTCCTTTGTTCAATCAAAATTTTGAATTCACGAATCTTTAAAATATTTCTCTCCAAATTTACTTAGATTCTTTTAATTATGGTATCTTTCCTATTAATAATTCTGTGCACATATAGATATCTATATATATAATAATCTATCATAATATATCTAATGAAAGTTTCCATTTACATTTTCTTGTTTCTGTTATATATTCTGTTATATATTCTATCGTTTTCGTAATGTAAGTAAAACTGCCTTTCTCTTTAAAAAATAATAAATTTCTTGTATCAAAATCTACAGATAAAACTGGCTTAAGTCTCCTTCCCGTTATTTTCAGGAACTGACGTTAATATATTTTTATTTCAAGTTTCCATATACGTCTATCTTTTTCTTTTTCCTAGATTATTCAATCATCTAAATTATTATAAATTTAAATAAAATTATTAATATAATAACAATTATAATTTAATATAATAAAATAATTTATTATTTTAATAATAATGTGATTTTTATTATTTAGCTTCAAAAGTAGAGCTTACTTAAAAATGTAGTGCAAAGCAAAATAATAATACGATTTATCTGAATACAATAAAACATCTCATGAATAATACGGAATTTATGAAAATATTGTCAATGTATGGAAATAACCTTGAAACTTTAATCGGTACCCTAAAATGAATGATTTTTGCTCCTTTTTGCAAAATATTGCACGCTACCTTTCAGCACGCTTTTACTTTTATATCAGAAACGAAACTGATCACTTTCTGAACAATAAATATATATATATTAATTATGCATGTCATTAGCTTTATTTATTAATGTGAAGATAGAATAACCTAATAGTGTTTTTAATCATAATTTATCGAGCTAATTAATAATATATTAGTATAAAATTAAATATTTTATATGTTACAGCAATTATATTAACATAAAACCTGCAATAAAATATTAAATATAATGGACAATATCTTTTGTTGAATTTTTAAATAATAATCAATAATTAATATTTAACAAAATAATTTATTTATTTTTTAAATAATCTTTTCAATCGAAAATAATTAAATTAATGAAACGATAATAATATATACTAAAACTCTTTGTTTTATTTGGAGGTTGGACAATATTAGTTTGTAATAGTATAAATACACGTACAGACAATTTAGTTATCCGTGATAAGCATTAACCAATATCGATTCTAAGGCAATCAATCAAAATCTGTAACATTAGTAAATTAACTGTGTCCCGATCAGAGTCACATAAGACAAGTGAGCAATCGTGTGACTGCTACATTCCGCTACAAATTTCCTTCATTCAGAAAGCTTTCCCGAACAAAAGTTTGCACTAAGTAAGTTTGCAAGAAACGGCAAAATCGAACCATTCCCAAATAACGTGTTGGATATCTCTATCATTATTTCGTTATCACGTAATGTACTATATATATAAATTAATCACTGAGACCTTGCCTCAAGCAAGAAATGGCAAGGATAGAATTATCTTAGATATTTGGAAGACAAATATCATAATAATTTGTTTTAAATTTATTGTTATTATCTTCATTACGTCAACGACAATAAGTTACGAAATATTTAAACATTTAAACATTTAAAAATACAAATGAATTTAAATGTATTATTATTACATGTAAATTTGTGATTTAAATTTATAATTTATAAATTTATAGTAATGACATTTAATTAAAAGAAGTTCTGGATTAAAAAATTATTTCAAAACTTTAGAAAATTAATAGAAAATTTATAAATAACAAATTAGGATAATAGAGACAGTAATAAATTGAAAGTGAAACCAAGTATGAAAAAGCTGTGACGACCAGTGTAAAATACCGCTAACAACTTCAGGATTTAAATTGTCGCTCGTAAAATATTTAAGTGGCTTCTTATGGCGTTTCAAACGTACTGTAAGAGAGACGAATGAACGTTAAACCAGGAAACGTTTGTTTGGCTGTAACGAAACGATAGGGGGCCCATTCTGCGTGCCAACGCACGTGACAGCTTGATCGCCTTATATCAACCTAGGAATGTTATTTATTGTATTATTGCGATTTAAACAGTTTAATACTGTTATCTTTTTATTAAAGCAAAATATATTCTTATATATTTAGTAAAAAGATAATATATCTCAAAATAATTTAAAATAATTAAAAAAAAAGAATTAAATTTTCGAAATTTAATTTCAATTTCCTAAATTAAATAAAATATTCCTTTTTTTAAAGTTTATAAAATCCTGTAATTATAATTAAGAAATTAATTACAATTAATTTTATTAAATATAAGAGTAGATATTATTATACATATAGTCATCTACAGTTATAATTTTTCTTTTCTTTCTCAAAGGCAATTCCTCCGCAAATAATGAATAAAATCCTTGCTTCGAAATGGAGATGCGAGATGTCCAATGAGACATCCGCTTACAGCGGACGTGAGAATAAACTAACAATTAATTTCTCAAGAATAAGGGGGAGAGATTACCCATAAATCAGTCGACCGACAGAGATAAAATCGCCATAGATCAATCAGTGTTTCGCACGGTTAAGGGTAATTTTTACGAAGATAAAAACCAACATATCAGTCGCATAAATGGCAATGATAATATCAAGGGAATTGCTACCTTACGAACAACCTGCATCTCTGTATGGTGGGAGGGTGTAACGTAATAATAGTGCACCGCCATAGAAGACACCGCGTTCCTCGCAACGAATGATTTATATTAGCGCGGCGAACTAGCTGCTTTACGTCGTAATGAAGCAATTGAGCAATCTTGCGCAAACTGACACAGCCGCCGAACACAGGCGAGAATAAATTCGCTTGTTACAATTAATACTGTGCTATGCGTGCGTTGCGTTAGAAATTTGTTGCCTCGTATCTAAACATGATCGCGTTGCATTACTAATGTAAAAGTAATATTTCGTAAGATAGATTAAAATTATAAAATG